CCCTGTAGGAGTGCTGAGGGAAGAATGTTAAATCTGGCTCTGAAAAAAGCTATTCTTTGTTTTGGGAAAGTCAGATTATTCAAATATCTTGCCGATTCCCACACACCCTGTTTGATTCTGTCCCTACTGTGGCAGCTCTGAAGTCCAATTGCACAGCCAGAGCCAGAGTTTACTACAGACAAAAGCACCTGAATCCAGTCCAGACAAAAACGTGGCTTAGAAGGTGGTCTATATTTTGTGTCAGATGGTGCGGTGCTGTAAGTTTACACTAGCTCTCTTCTCTTAATAAGCACAGGAAGAGACTTGCAATCTTGAGATACAATGTGACATTTCAGCCGGTATCTATAGTAGTTGAAATGAATAACACTTCTTGATCCAGCTGTTAAACTGGACTCTGCAAGCCCTTGAAATCTAAAAGTCTTCAGATAGGAAATAACTGAGGAATGCAAAGAGCAGCATCCGTGCACCAAAAAATGCACATAACATTTTTTTACACATTTGCAAGATGCCCCATTTTCCTGTCTTACTTTTAAATAAGGTATGTCCCTGGATACCAAGAAACACTGTGAACTAACTAAGGTAGAGCTTTCTTTTTTTGCTTTGGGCTTTTGAATTTTTCTTTCTTCTGATCAACCCACCTGCATTCCTTTTTCTTCTCTATCATGAAAGGTTCAAGATAATCTCTCTCTCTCTCTCTCTCTCTCTCTCTCTCTCTCTCTCTCTCTCCCCTCCCTCCCTCTCTCCCTCTCCCCTCCCTCTCCGTGTTATTTCCCAAATAGGATTCCAGCAGAACTCAAGTATTAAGAGTGTTTATTGCTACTGCAATAAACAGATTTTCCAAAAATTGAAATTGTTAAGAAATATGACAATTTTGTGAAGGACAATATACCATTTTATAATAATCCCATTGAAAATAAGCTCTTTACGGTCATTGCTTTGAAATTAAAAAAATAAAGACAAGGTTTATTTTTACTTTTTAGGTTCATTTCATCTCCTGCTTTTCTAACCACTGTATAAGAGTGATGCACATTTTATTCCCTTTTCTTCAAAACCTCGCTTTGATTCCTGTTATATTGGCCTCTTGATTATATCAACGTCTTCTATGTTTTTACCACATAATATACTGATTCAATCTAATTCTTCACAAGTATTTGCTTTATGTCCGTAATGAAACATATTCAACCACCCTTGTGTGACAATTTGTGCTCTCTTTGCTTATATGAATCAAAATTCCATAGCCAAATAAAAAGAAATAAACAGCGCTCCAGAGAAAAGTGCTTGTGGTGCAGAGATTTCCCTGGTCAAATAAATAATCATCTTTAGTCTTATACTCTAGGGCCTCAGACTGTAGCACAAAAACTGGTGGCAGATGGATGAACGAAGTCTGCATTTGAAACAATATGCTGGCGTAAGTAATGGTGAAACTGAGAGAAAGAGGTGGAAAAGCCAGGGGAAAAAACTCAGATTTGATTTCATTATAATTCAAACTTAAATCGAAGTAAATTAAGTAAAAATTGCCAGCCAGGTTCCTCTGGTCTAGAGGTTAGGAACAAAAAGGAAAGAAAGCAAATGCTGTAGGTACTCATTTGATCAGTTTTTAACCAGTACCCAAAAAGCAGCAACACACAAAAGGATGTTAGTTTAATTCTCCTATTTCTGTGCAGATAGCCAGGAGGGCTGTAATCGCAGAGCACTGGGGTTTATAAGGTTGCGGGGAGGAAGTAAAATTTATAGGCATTGGGCAGAAAGAAGGACTTTGCAGATTTTGTTTAAATCTCCCTTTATCTTTTCCCCTCAAATTCAAGAATTAAACCATCTCTATAGTGTCTGTATAGTGTCAATGATTGTCCACCTTGAGTTTCTGTAGGATCCCTGTAAAAGCTAACTTCTCTCTTCCATTCTGTCATCCACTGCTTCTCTGAACTCATGTTAGTGTTCATTTCAGTTGAAAGTCTGTGTCCATATTCTACCATTAATTGTCCAATTTCTATAAAAGACACCTATCTACCATGGGGCGACACAGGAACATACTTAACCCATTTATTGCAGTGCCTAGCAGGGAGTAATGCCATCTAAGGTAATGTTGTCCATTTGGAACAGAAAGAACAAATCCAGCCATTATGACCTCATGCTGATGCTGCCTGTTTGAAAGAGAAATTCTGGCCTCTGAGATTCTGACACAGATGCTGAACATCTGTTCTCATCTAGCCTACTCTGAACTGGAGAACTGCTCATTGTAACCTCATAGTGAAATTGTCTAATGGAGAAGATTGGGCAGGAGTTTTTCATGCTAATGCTGTCCAATCTGGCTCCATTTCTATGAAGAAGTAGGGTCTTCGCAACCTCAGGAGAGTAAGGATTCACACTGTCTTAATGTTCCAAAGGTGCTTTTTCCAAAAGGCAACTGGACTTTCTTGTTTTTTTCCTTTGAAAACATTTCACTTCTCATAGAAGAAGCTTCTTCAGTTAACTTCAGAAACATTTTCAAAGAGAAAAAAAAACCCCAAGAAAGTCCAGTTGCCTTTTGGAAAAAGCACCTTTGGGACAACCATGACCTGGATGATTGAGAATCTCCATAGACACACTCTTAACAATCTTCCCATTCTTTCAATACAGTTTTTGCTTCTCTTGAAGCTAGCAGTGTTCACTAATCCTTTTTTTTATTTTATAAAAGACAATGTAACTCAAAAATATGAAACTTTTATTGAATTGAGGGTCACAGCTACCTTTTAATGGCTTATCCAAGACCATATTGCCAAAACTGATAGGGGAGGATTTATATAAAGGATTTATAATTTGGCAAGCATAAACATTGAATGAAATTAAATAAATTAAAAATAATAATATGACTGGTTAATTAACTTTTAAAACTTAAACCAGGAGTTAAATTTATCGATCTGTTAATAAGAGGCTTGTTTACAAAATTGTCTAGGCCAGGGGTAGGCTATGCATAAATTAAGGCCAAATGTTACTATAAAATACAAAAATACTTTTAAAAGTGAGACAAGAAACATTTATTCCAAAAGCAATCTCGTCAATTAGAAACATGCAAAATTAGCAAGCAGCAATTATTTTGAGATGAGGATAATCTGTTCAGGGAGTAATAGTTTATATAAAAACACAAAGAGAGGTAAAACATGTGGGGAAAGAAGGAAGATTTTTTTTAAAGGAAAGACAACTGTAAAAATTAGGAAAGCACGGCCTTCATAAGAAGCTTCTGATTATAGTTATAGAGTAGATGTGAGTTGTATGACAAGATGAAAGAGCCAAACCCACCAACTTGGCCTGCCTAATTAAAACTTAAAAACTGCACTGCATTGATGATTGCCAGCTAAGCCTATTTCTTTGATGTAACATATATTCCATAGTTGTATGAGAACTTCCAAGTGCCAGGCAGAGACAAGGAGGTACAGCTCCATCTTGGCAGAATGCAAGAGTGCAGAAGAAAGAGAAATATGGTAACTTTTAAGAAGAATTTCCACTAAATGTCATTTTTCACTTGTCAAAACAACCTGTTAAGTTTTATCATACCATTTGTATTTTTATCAAGGGGCCTGGAGATGACCTAAAAATGTAAGCCGAGGCCTATGAACACCCCTGTGCTTCTTCCAACACATCTAATTGTAATTCATATATTTATAGAGATTTTCTATTCCTTTACACTGAACTGTTTCCCAAATTTAAAATATATTTATGGGTGTGTGACAGACTTATTCTTCATATTTTGTTGGCTCCCACGGGGAGTAGCTGCATGTTAGAACTATTTCAGGCTTGCCATTCATTTCTGTAAATAGGGCCAACAGCTGAAGAGCTAGCAGGAGTTATATTTACTATTATTTTGAGATAATTTTATTGCCTTCTGATAGTACCAACACCACAATAAAACAATATAGGGTATATATTATATAAACAGAAATAAATAAAGTGAGGAGGAAACCAGATAAAACTTCATAAAAGGGGACATTTCATAATGTAACAATTATTTCTTTCTGCTCTGTGAGGATGGTGGACTTAATGTACTATTCCAAAGGCTACCTCAAGGAAGCCTGTATTGATTCTTGTATGGAGCAATGAAAAAAATGTTCTTCTAAAACAGCTTTGAAAACATTGAACTAATCTGAAATAAAACTGAAGAGATATTCATACATCATTCTGTAAATACAGGTAATCCTCGACTTACAACAGTTTGTTTAGTGACCAAAGTTTCAACGGCATTGAAAAATGTGACTTATGACTGTTTCTCACAGTTACGACCTTTGCAGCATCCCCATGATCATGTGATCAAAATTCAGATGCTTGGCAACTGGTTCATATTTATGACCGTTGCTGTGTCCCAAGGTCACACAATCACTTTATGCAACTTTTTGACAAGCAAAGTCAATGGGGAAGCCAGATTCACTTAACAACTGGGTTACTAACTTACCAACTGCAGTGATTCACTTAATAACTGTGGCAAGAAAAGTCGTAAAATGGGGCAAAACTCACTTAACAAATGCCTCACTTAATAACAGGAACTTTGGGCTCAACTGTGGTCATTAATTCGAGGACTACCTGTACACAATTATGCATTTGCATCATAATATCTAAGTAAGTTGTATCAATTACACTGCGACACCAATATGCATATGCCATCATTTTCCCCCCTCCCTTGACCACCACTAATGCCTGCAAATAGCACAATCCAGTACCTTGTATTGTTTCATATTTGACATTCACTTTTTTTGGCATCAGAAAAACAGCAAAACCAAGAAGATTTTATCACACTTCTGCACCCTGATAGGCTACAATATAAATAAGGCTCATGCTAATCACACTAAATTCATTTAAATGAAGCATTACTGTAGCAGTACAGAAATCTTCTAGAATTTAATTCAGCTATTGACTTAATCCATTACTTTTGCAGCAAAGAGATTACAAGGGCCAGGAGATCTTAAAAGTTCCACATTTCTTTTGGAATTAAATGACCATGTGGACATAAAAAGTAAAGAGTATATACCTACCTTTATTATCAAGGCCACATCTTCAAAACATTTGCATATGAAGAACTGCTCTTATCTCTACAAAACAAAACAAAACATAATTGACATTAGCAACGTTTCAAAATAAATTAATGTCCAATAATAGATAAATCAAATAATGCTAGTGGTATATCCCAGTTAATGATACCAAATTATAGCCAAAAGCACAGTCCAAATTTTAATTATTATAATAATTAAGCACATATTCACAGTCTTTTTTTCTAATTAATACTCTTAAGTTATTTAAACAATATGTCTATGATTTTAATTAATACTGTATAAATATGATATAAAAATGCTATAGTGCATTAAGATTTACCATAATATAATAAAAGGGAAAAATAATCCTTCTAATCAAAAGAATTACAGATTATCAAGTTTTTAGTACATTTAAGGACTAAAATCCAAATTCTGGATTTGGATTAAAGCATCAACATTTTGCATCATTCCCTGCAGATCTGAGAATCAAAAGAGGCATGGTTTTCAATAGTTTCCCTTCAAAAAAAAAAGCTAGTGGAAAGGCAGAGGAACAGCATACAAGCAAATGAAAACATATCAAACCTTTACTGAGGCCAGAGGTCCAAAAGTCAGATACAAGATACAAGAGGTAACAATGAAAATATAGAGGGCTAAAATTAAAGCAATTTTTTTTACAAGCTTTTGCATCCAAAATGAGGTGGATTGTGAAAATAAAGGTCTAGAATTAGACAAACAAGATGTATGCAAACAATGGTCACGCATGAGGAGCAATCAATAGAAGGCACATTCTACATCAGGTAATTTCTTCACAATAGGGTGGGTCCTTATAGAGAGAGAAGCAAAAGAGCACATGCCTCAGGGATTCTACTCAGCCATCCACGCATATAAAGAGATGGGGAATATTTTTGTAGATGGCAGAAGGCAATGCATCCAGCCTGCCAAAATGAAGTCCTGGCAAAATTCTAGAATTGCAGCAGGTGAGAAAAAAATATTCTGGTATATACCCACTTGGAAAGACTCCACAAGGGCAGTAAGGCTGAGAAAGAGAAGTTAATTAATTTGAACTTCAATTGATGTTCATTTGAACATCAATTTGAGCATCAACGTCCCAAACATGCAGTTTAAGGAAACTTTGGGCATTTTCAAAGCAAATGGAAAAAGGCTTTTCATTGAGAGTCCTAAAGATGGAAACTTGCCAATAACATTTTTTTAATCAGGTTGAGTTGATGTGAGAACCATTGGAGCTAGGCTCACTGGGAGAAAAGTGTTAACTCTAACCATACATTAAAATGATAATACCAAGCTCCATGGAGACTTAAACAGAGCAGCATTAAAACACCCTGGGACGGCCAAGAATAGCTCCATTTAGAGTGAATGGGTTCAATGATGGCTAGATTTCTAAAAGTACAGACTTAGGTACTACAGCACAGAGAAGCTGAGAGAAGATCTTGACTACAAAGACTTTACAAGTTGAAGTGACAAAGTAGGAGCCTTTTGAATAGAAGAAACTCGAGAAGAACTACACTGAGCAATATCTGCTTGATATAAAAATGTTCTCTCCCTGATAGTGCAGCCTAAAATAACACTCCAAGGTGTTTGTAAATCTGTACTGACTCAATATTATTCCAATTTGCCAACAATAAATTTTATGATAATGTTGTGAAAATATTTTTCTGATAATAGTAGTTTCTCCTGTGAACATAAAGAGAGAACGCTTGGATTAATTGAGTTTACATACAAGTTAATAAACAGGAGGGCTACAATACACCCTTGCCACACATCAGATATTGCTGTAGGGCCAATAATTTGATTGTTGTGGCCAGGGGATAAGTTTTTATTGAGTTTTGTACTTGAAGTTTGACTTCTGTTAGCCATCTAGAGTCACTGCAAGTGAGTTGGGTGGCTATATATTTTAAATGAATGAATGAATGAATGAATGAATGAATGAATGAATGAATGAATGAATGAATGAATGAATGAATGGACATCTATCCAGCATACAAGCAGAATTTTACTGTATTTTTTGCAAAGTTCTTCTGCTTTGTTCTTCTTCATTTTCAACATTCAATACCTCATATCCAAACTCTAGCCAGGTTTCATTTCACTATATTCTAAAACTCTTCCACTGTCTCCCCCCCTTTCTCCCTTCCCTCTCTCTCCTCCCCCCCATCTCTATATCTATCACAATTCAGAGGTATAACAAACAATATGTTCATTGGTTATTTGTCAGTTCTACAATAAAGCAAAAAATATGATTGATGGGCAGAATTCAGTTTAAGAGTTAAAAAGGTGCTTAAAATCAAGGAACGTTAATGCTCAACTGCTTCACATGCCTTCTGAGATTTCAATACTACTTCAGTCACACGGTGATCTGGCAGGGAGCCTTCATTTGAAGGAGAGAATCCAAATGCTTAGAGTAGGCAGAGATGACACCATGATATTTTTCACACAAAAAAAGAAATATTTATTTAGCAAGGTGCTTTTGAAGCTTGTTGTGGAACGTCTCCCACTCAAGATTCAGTACGTTATAAAATCAATAGATAAAAGTAGGTCAGACTGAACAGAGACACGTCTTTCTATTCTATTGGATTGAGAACAGGAAAGAAACCCAGCAATCTGTTACAACATTTTGCTGCTCTAATGGAGTGCATCTGCAAATATTTAAGCAACATGAACACGCAACTCTCCTATCGAACCGGTATAGTCCTGGATTCTACACCCACATCTACATTTTGCTTAAGCTGAAAAAGCAGCACTTATTTTTTTATGGCACTGGGCTGAAGTCTTGCAGGCAACGCCACAAGACAGAAAACAAGGTCCCATGGATACTTAGGCACAAAATGGAGCTGCTTCCTGATCTCATGGGCCTACGCTGCACTTTTGTGGCACAGAGGCAAAAACTCCCCATGCCAAGCTAAAATGAGAAGTAGAGTGACACCTCACCACAGTTGTGAATAGTTACATATGTTGGAAACTTAAAATGAGAGTGGGTTTCATTTTGAACTCAATTCCCTCGTGCGCTCCACTTTTCTCTGTGGGCATCTCGTATGCCTCAGTCCGTTAAAAAAAAAAAGAGTAATTAGACAGCTAGCAATATTAGAAGGATAGAATAATACCATGAGCTAAAAATAATAATTACACAAAATCCCAAAGACAGGCTCAGAAGCAGCTTCTGCATCTGTTAGCTTGAAGATGTCCAGATGAACAGTTTTTCCAATGAACAGGAATGGAGAACCTATGGCCCTCTCCCTGCCATGCTGATAGATTATAACCTGCATAAACCCAGCTCCAGCTCCATCAACTATGAAAAATGCTGGATTGAGTATCAACCAGAGGGCCAGACAGAATGGCATTTCAAATTATAGAAGCTAACACTTCACTTCAGTCCCATACTCACACAGGATTAGTTTCACCGACACTGCTTTTTATTTAATGTGTCCAAGATCTACCAGTTCTTGTTTACATAATTATGCTAAATACAATTGCTTGGAATATTATCACCAGCTTTCTTGCCGATGTTCCAATGTAGGCACGTTTATACTGCACGATACGAACAAGATCAAATGCAAACTTCCACGAAGCTCATGATCTCAAACAAGTGCACGTATTTTGGAAAGAAAGAGTTAAACACAATCACCAAAATGAATCATCAGAGTATATCAGCACGCCAATCCCATAATTTATCAGTCTCAGTTATGATTAGGTCTGGAAGCCAAAAGCCACAGTATCCTTATACAATTGCACATCGTAACAGATACACAGAAAAGAATAGCAACAAGCATGACTAAACAGGCCTAGGATATAATGGGATTCAACTAAAATGGAAGTTACTCATCACAGCTCTCTTTAAAATAAAAATATTTATTTATTTAATATTTATTTACAGGTAGTCCTCAACGTACGACCACAACTGAGCCTAAAACAGATATGTCAAACACAAGGCCCCGGGGCCAGATGCGGCCCGCAAAGCGGTTTCATGTGGCCTGCGAAGCCATCCTGGAAACAGCGAGGGAACGGCCCCTGCTGCCTTGGCCCTGGCCGGCCAGGAGCCAATGTACAATTTTGTGGTGGCCATCTATGCTGAAACGCATTCAGTCTTAGCTCCACAAGGCCGTCTAGAAACAGTGAGGAACCAGCCCCTGCTGTGTCATCCCCGCCGTCTGGGTACATGCTGGGGAGGTGTCACCCTTTGTGAGGAATGAAGAAATGGACCATGCCTTGCCGCTTGCCCCGGTCCCACCCCCTTCTGCCAGAGACCCTCAGATCTGTCCCATTCTGCCCAGGCCCCCACAGGCACCCTTGACGCGAACGATGTAGAGCTGGCCATGCCCACCCAGTAGGCCATACCCACTCCATCCACGCCCACCCAGTAGGCCGCACCCACCCTGGCCACACCCACCCAGCCCCCCGAGGGCAACTGCAATGCTGATGCGGTCCTCAATGAAATTGAGTTTAACACCCCTGGCCTAAAATTTCTCTTGCTAAGCAAGAGATTTGTTAAGTGAATTCTGTCCCATTTTGTGACCTTTCTTGCCACAGTTGTTAAGTGAACCACTGCAGCTGTTAAGTTAGTGACATGGCTGTTAAGTGAATCTGGCTTTCCCATTGACTTTATTTGTCAAAAGGTCACAAAAGGTGACCACATGACCCCGGGGCATTGCACCCATCATAAATATGACTCAGTTGCCAAGCGTCTGAATTTTGATTATATAACCATGGGGATGCTGCTGCATTCATAAATGTGAAAACCAGTCATAAGTTACTTTTTTCAGTGTCGTTGTAACTTTGTACAGTCACTAAACAAACTGTTGTAAGATGAGGATTATCTGTATTTAATCTGTACAATTATGATTATAATTCTGAATAGTGAAACCTGGAAAAACCAGTTCCCAGGTATTGAGCAACAAGTTGGACACAGGGTTTGCTGCTTCTCTTAGCAACCATGACTAGAAACCATAAAGGTCCTGGAAAGAAATCATTGAAAAATGTGGATAACCTATAAAAATCAAGAAGAAATTATGAAG